AGGCGTTCCAACTTCGCCTCGCTCCTGGATCCCCCCGGCGGTTGACGTGCGCTACACATCACCCAGATAAGGTATGCGCCTTGATCCCAGGCGTAGATCCCGTGATGGGACCCATAAGTCCTGAAGCACAAACCGCTTGTGCTCCAGGGTCCATTTTAAAGGGTTCCTGGACGCCGTTCTTTGATTTCATATTGCTGCTATCAACTTTGCCGAAGTATGTTTGGGGATTTGGGATTTTAGAAGCCTTATCGCAAGATTCCATGTAATCCAGCATTCATGTGACGACTTGGCTCAACTTTGGCAAGTTTATATGAAAATTATTCTTAGAAGTAATCAGTTTTCAGAATGATGTCCCTGCAGTTCGCAACACAGCAACATAAAGGCTTGCCAGGCGTGTCAGGTTGCCCCTGCATGGAAATATGGTCCATATTTTCGGTCAGTGCGGCCCATCTCCACGGTACCGACACGCCTCACGCATGTGATGTGACACTACGGCAGTGAGTGAGTGAGTGACACTACGACAGTGAGTGATGTGACACTACGACATTGCCCGTCCCGGGTGGTTCGCTTTCACCGCGCAGCCTGCGCGTGTGTGCCGCACGCGTCGGCACGCTTCTAAAGACCGTCTAGGAAGGATATGCCTCGAGGGATCTAATATGCAGAAATTAGGTTAGGTGCACAAGTGCTCCAAAGTTGAGAGAGCTTGCGAATTAAAGACGTGTTCCTGTACGACATGTGTTTGACGGACGTGACTTTGATCCCCATCATTTGAGGTCCCCGCGCGGCTCGCGACCCCCGCCCTCCAACGCGCCCGCAATACTGGGCTTACGCCCGCAATACAGGTCTTAGGCGCTCGCTCCATCTAGGCATCGAGGCTCGATCGAGGCATCGACGCTCGATCGATGCATCGAGGCCCGATCTAGGCATCGAGACTCGATCGCGGCATCGAAGCTCGATCGAGGCATCGACGCTCGATCGAGGCATTGAGGCCCGCTCTAGGCATTGAGGCTCGATCGAGACATGGCTCCACCCCACGCCCAGCAAACTTAACTTCGAATTATTTCATTTACAACATACCAGTCAGAATGAGGTGCAAGAGAACATGCAACATTTAGTTGGGATTATGCAGGCGTGTAGTCATACTCCAAGTGTTGCACTTATGTTCATGGCAATCATCAAATTAAAGCAGACAAATGTGCCCAACTGCATGCGACACAGGACGTATACAACGGTAACGGCATCTGCATCTGAGCCTGTACTGATCATAACCCCACGAGTGCATCCTCTACAGGACATTACAATCGGTAATAGTATTCACGGCCAGCCCAGACTGTGCGGAATCGCATGCTACATTTCTTGAGCATCAGTTACACGAATAAAGACAGTTTTACAGCCAGGTCAGAGCCCGTATCACTGCTACTTATTAGAGGGACTAGTCGACAGTCATGTACTGTCCGCATTCAGGCTTCGACTTGTTTGAGGGACTGTGCCCACAGACCACGCCGGCCGGCATGGTTATAAACGTCCAAGATGGGCTCCTGTCGACCAGTTGGAAATTGGTGCTGCCTGTACTGGTGATAACATCACGAGTACATCCTCTACAGAGCATCACAATTGGTAAGCATCCTTGACCACCCTTTCGTCCCCAATTCACACATATATGCTCAAATGGCAACGCCTTGCGAATATTTCCAACAAGTCATAGCTTTTACAACTTACGCATAGCACTAAAACAAGCACCCATACTCAGCCTTTGCGTGATGAGGAAATACACTAAATGCCGCTCGAAGTCTCTTGAAACAGTCATCTACCGTCCATCCCCGACTGCCTCCCAGCTCCGGCGACCGCCCACCCCCGACTGCCTCCCAGCTCCGTCACCGCTCACTCCCGGCTGTCTCCCAGCTCCAGCTCCGTCTTGCCCGGCTGTCTCCCAACTCCGCCCCGCACACTCCCGGCTGTCTCCCAACTCCGTCGCCGCACACTCCCGGCTCTCTCTCAACTCCGTCCTCGCACACTCCCGGCTGTCTCCCAGCTCCGTCTCCGTCTTCCTCCGGCTGTCTCCCAACCCCGTCCTCGCACACTCCCGGCTGTCTCCCAGCTCCGTCTCCGTCTTGCCCCGGCTGTCTCCCAACTCCGTCCTCGCACACTCCCGGCTGTCTCCCAGCTCCAGCTCCGTCTTCCTTCGGCTGTCTCCCAGCCCCGTCCTCGCACACTCCCGGCTGTCTCCCAGCTCCGTCTCCATCTTGCCCCGGCTGTCTCCCAACTCCTTCTCCGTCTTGCCCCGGCTGTCTCCTAACTCCGTCCTCGCACACTCCCGGCTGTCTCCCAGCTCCATCTCCGTCTTCCCCCGGCTGTCTCCCAGCTCCGTCTCCATCTTGCCCCGGCTGTCTCCCAGCTCCGTCCTCGCACACTCCCGGCTGTCTCCCAGCTCCATCTTCGTCTTCCCCCAGCTGTCTCCTCGTTCCGTCCTCGCACACTCCCGGCTGTCTCCCAACTCCGTCCTTGCGCAGTCCTGGATGCCTCCCAGCTCCGTCTCCGCCTTGCCCTGGCTGTTTCCCAACTCCTCCCTCGCACACTCCCGGCTGTCTCCCAGCTCCGTCACCGCCCACCCCCGGCTGTCTCCCGACCCCGCCCCCACACACTCCCGGCTGTCTCCCAGCTCCATCTCCGTCTTCCCCCGGCTGTCTCCCAACTCCGTCCTCGCACACTCCCGGCTGTCTCCCAGCTCCAGCTCCGTCTTCCTCCGGCTGTCTCCCAGCTCCGTCCTCGCACACTCCCGGCTGTCTCCCAGCTCCATCTCCGTCTTCCCCCAGCTGTCTCCCAGCTCCGTCCTCGCACACCCCGGCTGTCTCCAGCTCCGTCTCCGTCTTGCCCCGGCTGTCTCCCAACTCCGTCCTCGCACACTCCCGGCCGTCTCCCAGCTCAGTCCCGGCCCACCCCCATCTGACTGTCATCTCCACCCGCCGCGGCGGCTCACCTGTCGGGCCGCACCGGCCGACCGGGTCGGCCCGGCGGCCACGGTTCCGGCTCGGCCGGCACCACGTCCAGCGGCGTGTCGGGCGCCCCTGACGGCCGCCGGCTCCGCGGGCACAGGTTGCCCATGGCGGCTGGCGCGGCGTCACGGCGCGGTCACCATACGCCGGCCGCCCCGCCGCCCGTCGGCCCACTGCGGCCCGCGTCGGGCCCGCACCGGGCTGACGACGGCAGCGGCTGATGTTGGGCGCGCGCCAGCGGGGCGCGGCGCGGCCGTCCAAACAGCGCGCAACACGCCGCCGCTAGAGCCGCTCGAGTTTCGGCGTCGCGCCGCTGGAGGAGGCCATTCATTCGCGGCCGGCGCCGGCGACGAGGCCACTTCCGGACGCTGTTTTCCAGGCGACGGCGGGCAGATGTGCGTGTGGGCCGAAGCGCTATTTTGGGAGGTGTCTCCCGCCCTCCCCACGGCTGCCAGCCCCGGCCGCGGGCCACCCACCCACGCTCCCGGCCAACTCGAGCGTTCGTCCCCGGAGAGCGCGCGGTGATCGGCGGCGATGGAGGCTGTCCTCGGCCTCACTGACCTTTCAAGTATGCCACTGATGTCCTGTCTCCTTTGCTTTACAAACCTGCCTATCAGTTTCCTCTTGGCTTCCTTCTCCTTCTTGCATCAAAGCGCACTTGCCTGCTCTCTTCAACGTCTGTGTTCCTCCACTTTGGCCTTCCTTCCACGCATCGTGGCACCCGAAAATGTCACCCCTGGTTTTCGCGGGCGTAACATAGTCCTGCACGCCCACAGACATTCATCTCCAAAAAGTTTTGTATATTGCGCTGTCATAATAAGCCTAAACACCTCCTAACAGCGGCCGCCGTCACTATCTGATGAGTCCCTGTGTTGATGGCACGGGCACACTGCTGGCCGACCTGGGCGAGCGTGCCGCCGCCGGCACCGCCCCGCCCGATGAAAGGTAAACAAACATGGCAGGCGGCTGCTGACTCCCGCTGACGGCGGGCGCCGGCGCGCGCAACCACATGTGGCATTAACCTGCCGTCCTGCCGTCCCACTTCCCGCCGTATTGATGCACGCGATATAACTGATGGCTCTGCCGAGATTCCGCGCCGCGCTGCCGTGCCAAGCGTGAGGCGGCGCCGTCTAAAAATGTCGGCCAGAGCGGCCCGCCGCGCTGGGACGGCTGGCCTGACCAGGTCAGACGTCAGGAGGGATCAGCCGCTGACGTTATCACCTGCTGACGGAATCACCCTCTGACGGGCTCGCCCGCCGACGGGGTCACCCACCAGCGGGATCACCCGCCGACGGGATCATCTGCTGAGATGGGATCACCTACTGGTGGAATCACCTGCTGACGGGATCACCTGCTGACGGGATCACCTGCTGACGGGATCACCTGCTGACGGGATCACCCGCTGATGGGATCGCCTGCTGATGGAATCATTTGCTGATGGAATCATCCGCTGTTGGAATCACCTCCTGATGGGGCCACTTGCTGATGGGATCACATGCTGGTGGGACCATTTACTGGTGGGATCACAAAACACCACGACCGCCGGCCGCCCGCAAGCCGTTGACTGCACATTTGTGCACGCGCAGGTACTGGCAATGACACACACATCCAGTGCAAGGGCAGGTAAAGGCACGTCCGAAGTTCGATCCGTGCCCGAAGTATGAACAGGGTATGTCTGAGGCGGGGGGGGGAGGGCAGATGCAACAGACGGTACAGGGGCAGGGATTGCAGTGCCGCGAACTGCGACATGAGCAGTCGGCTGGCCAGCGCTGACCACAGCCGCGGGGCGACGTTAATCTGGAGCCAAACAGTGCTGACCCCGTGTTCGGACAGCGGCCTCAGGACTGTCAGTCAGCCTCCTGGTCTGACCCCAGGGCCCAGGTAGGACCCTGGATCCGTGGCGAGAAGGTTGCCACTGGAGCTGAACCCAGAACGGTCAGCGAGGCCCCAGAGCTGAGCCCAGAGCCGATGCGAGGCTCGGCCACCGACCAGCCCCGCCGCGCTCACCTGACTGGACGCTCCGCCATGAACTGCGACACTGCCGACATTCGCTGCGACGGTCAGCCGACGCGACGGTCAGCCGACGTCGGGAGTCAGCCTCGCGCGCCGGGCGGCGGCGGACGGAGGCCGCCCCACCCGCCTGCCGACACCGCCGGCGCCCGGCGAAAAACCTTGCCGTCTTATCAGCCCCGCGGCCGGGCACAATCTAGCGCTGTGCGAGCGGTGAGTGGACATAGCTGACGGCCGGCGGACGGCATGCGCAGGCTGTTGTCGGGCACGGCTTGTCCGAGCTTCGGGACTCGCTGGCGCCGGGGCGGGCCGCGCTACTGACGGCCGTGTGCCGCGCCCGTCAGCAGGCGCCGATGACGGTCGGACGTGACCGGTGCGGGTCGGGAGTACGGCCTCTCTCTCGTGCGTGCATCTCCGGACCTCTCGCCGTCGCTCGCGCCTGGAGGATCGGCAGGCGGGGCGGACTGAGTCGCGCGAGCTCACGCGCCAGCTCACGGTGGCGGCGTCCGGCTCCGGAGGTTGTGTTTATACCTACGAAGGTTAACCCAAATCCCGTGGGAATCAGATCTGGAGGCAAAATATCCAAAAGCGAGACTCAGATCAAATTCACCGACTCGTCGGTTTGGTCGAACAGAACTTTCAGTCGGATGCTAGAAAAGCCCGAGTTTCGCATGTGATCGGGCGATGCGGCCGCGTGCCGGCCGGCCTGACTTGAGCCGGTCGAGTTCGATTGGGTCGCGGATGGAGCGCGGTGAGCGTCTGCCCGCGACTTGGCGCGGGTCGCGCGCGGGATCGTCGCATAAATCAATTGGCAGGACCGTTTTGTGGGCCGGCCAAACCAAACCGCTCGCAGATTACACGTGTCACACTTTAACTGCACGCTGGCAGCTCCAAACATGCAGGAAGAGGCTCCAGGCCAAGTTCATACTCATATCATCCACTTGCATTCAGACGAAAGAAGCCGCAGGCTCTGATCGCGAGGTAAAGGACAGCTATTCATATCGGGCAACTCCTGACCCGCTAACAAAATTCACACTGTTTTGGAACATCGTCATGATGGAACGCTGTCCGACATTGATACAGGAACCACGGGGTTTAAAACTACCACCTAAAAATTTCAAAGATTTTGAAGTATGTCCATACTTATTTATTGCCTAGACTCGTATGGGTAATATATTACACGCATCACTTCTACCATTTCATTACGGGTTACACCTATCGAATGGGGCCTGTCATTACCAAGAGCAACAACGTATGCGCCGATGGCTTATCAGTTTATTATCGAACATGCATACCGCTAAAGGTAGGATGTGTAGCCGTTCACACACCGTCACAGTGCCCACCCTGTGCCGCCGATGACGCAGCCCGTCCTCTCTGTTTGAGCTGCAGCCCCACGTGGCGATTAGTGTCTGCTTGCAACACTGCTGACATCTGCTGGGCGTGCAGTGGTTGAGACATCTGCTGAATGTGCAGTGGCTGACCTCAGAGGCGTGATGTGATGCATGCGTCTCGACAGTACCCGCTGGTCTGCTCCGAGCTCACAAGAAGACGTGCTGCTGGGAGAGCTCAGCAGGCGTGATACTCATGTATGTGTGTTACTCGCCAAGCCTCATGAGAGGTTTTGCACCTTGCGGACATAAATACAACGGGAATTGGTCTGGATGGGTGTGGGTTAAGGGCGTCTGCAGCTGCGGATGACGGAAAAAATACGTAACTCGTGCATGATCTGTAGCAAAACAGCAATGGAAAGGATATTGCCAACTGTATCACCCATATTTTCACAGCCATTGCAATGATTCGTATTGGAAATGCCGATCACGCAAACACAATAAATGGCTGTTGACGACAGTAAATGACAGACAGTGATAAGACAGTAGAAATGGCCTTATTTCTCGCACAAAAACCAGAAAAATGGAGATATACATGCCGAGTTCGTTCAGTTTGGTATATCATGTTTTCGCAGGATGACATCGTGAGATTACCCACGTTTCAACGAGCGGCAGCCGTCACCTGGTACTGGACAGCTGTCGCACGACTGATGGCATTACTGCTAATAAATTAAAAATATTTCATGGGTCAACCGCTTCTAGCTGTTTTGCCATAACGTTTGAGTTGCAATGCATCTGTTGAAATAGAACAGACGGAGCACTCCTAGCAAGAAACAAATTCCTTTCATTCCTCGGTTTGTGTCGCAGGTTATGTCGCTGAAGTCTTCATGGACTAAATTTTCTGGATCGGTCCAGTCAAATGATTTGCTCTGTCAAATCATCTTACAATGCTTGATTAATGCTGTGAGTCATGTGGTGTGGGTTTTCAAATATTAAATTCCGGCGATGCAGTCCCGGTCAATTGATCCATGTTAATCTAGTGTTCACCATTTCGGTTTTCATAACAGACTCAAAACTCATTTCAACCTAATCTCTCCTTTAAAACGCTTTAGCATGATACGCTGGATTATCTAACATTGCAGTCCAGTCCAACCCAAGGACATGTTGCATGATGACACATCAAGGTACTTCTTTGAAATTCTTCTTTCCATCTCTACCCCCTTGCCATTCCTGTGTCTTTTAGGAATATAGCCGTTTTTTAGGAATATAGCCGTTTTTTAGGAATATAGCCTTTTTTATGGACCGGGCAAGTCCGCGTGCCACATGTGTTCCGGGATCTAAGCTTCAATCGGCGTAGAGAGACAGCGTCGCTAATGATCAACAGGTGCTTGTGTCGCAAAAGAAACCAAACAGTGAGACCGATCCAGGTTCGTCCAACCCATTGATTAATTCGCTATCTCAGGAATCAGTCCTACAGTTTGGTGACGAGTCTAGACACTTGCACCCTCAGACTATCGGAGGGCGATGTACGGCTGCCACCCCGCGGCGCCCGAACTCACGCTGCCGTGCGTAAATGTCTGCGCAGTCCCAGCCAGTCCAGAGCTCAACCATTCGCCCATCGATTGCTCAGGATCGGAGGTTTGTTCGATACTCTGATCACGTGGCTGCTCAGTCAGCTGACACGCAAGATTGGGAGCTTGCTTCCCTGCCTTCTTGGTGCAGATTCAAGCCAGCAGTCCGCGGTTCGGTCGGAGGGCAAAACCTCCGCAAAACAGCTCAGGTCTCGGTGTCAACTTTTATTTTGTACAAAATTATCTGCGCAGTTAAGAGACCGTTAGTCAAAGGAAAGCCAAGAGAAGACCGTCATGGATTATTTCACGAGTAACACTAGAGGAAGCCGACATGTCGACCAAAGCCAGGGAGGCGGCACGTACGACATGGACTTCTACGCAACGTCCTACTCTAGTGCCCATAACATCCCACACTACAAGCCAACTCCACCTCTCATCCGGGACGGTGAGTGACGCCGGTGACATTCACCCGAACCTGGCCAACGTCTTTCCAGGCATTGTAGACATTGTAGACATTGTAGGCATTGTAGACACACATATAT